TGCTAAACCCAGGCTGCAGCGAGACAGATGTGACGGCCCAAAGCCCTGCCCCTGGGGAGAAGAAAGCAGACAGAACTGGGGACTCTTGTTCTGGGCCCATGAAACCTCAGTGGTCTCATTTTCCTCCTTTCTTCTTTAATTTTGGGAACTTTCCATATCAATAACAATTATTAAAGATTCTTTCCCTGAAAAGTCTCTAAGAAGAGAACACTAAAAATGTACCAGTTAGTCCACTGTAAACAAGCAATCAGTTATCGTCACCCAAAGTGAGACAACCTGACATTAAGTGCCATCAAATGAAACGAAAATGAAATACAGAGCCTGGTCCAGTTACTGTTCTGGGCACAATTGTTTAACCTAAGTTTAAACATGAGTAAATAACTTAGTCAAGTCAGAATGTGCAACCCTGAATTCTGTAAAAACAAACAAACAAACAAACAAAATTAGTGCTATAAAAAACAAAAAGAGATGGAAGAGTTATCTAGATTAAAAAAAAACAGATCTAACTAAATGCAATGTATGACATTTAACTGGATCCTGAATTGGAAAAGCAAAACAAAAAAACAACTACAAACAATATTTTGAAACACCCAGGGACATCTGAACATTCATGTTAATTTGTTAGGTGTGATAATAGTGCTGTGGCTACATAAGAGTCCATTCTTATTCTTAGAAAAGGCATGCTGAAACATTTAAAGGTTCAGCTTGTTGCTATGAAATATTTCAGCAAGAAAATATGGATATGCAGACGAGGGAGACAGAGAGGCAGAAGCGGGGCCCGGGGAGGGACAGGTCTTGATGAAGGGTATAAATTTTACCCTTTCCAATTTCTTAAAAGTTTGAATATTTCCAACATAAAGAGCTGGAGAAAATAAAAGAGAACCACAGAGCAGAGGAAATACTAAACATCTTGTCCACAGCAATGTATACTCAAGCAGAAAGCCTTAACAGTTATCTGAGTTACAATAAGGTGTCTTGACACAAACTCCAAGTCCTCCAGCAGCTGAGGCAAGAAATAAAGGCCAGGGATGAGAAACCGCCCACCATTTCTGTGCAAACTTAAAGAAACTCCCTAAACTCCTAAATTAAAGGCTTCTAATCCTCTGAACTTGTTTTATTTGGTTCTCATCAATCTGTTAAAGAGTGGTACTGTTTGAGGAGCTATTTCTAAAGGAGAATTTTATTTTATACTATGAACCTTCTCCCATTTGGGGAGAAGACAGGAAGTTTAGCTGCTTTCTTAAAGGTGAAAATACTGGAGAACAGAATAGGGCCATGTGGTACACAACAATCCCCAATATAATCCAGAATATTATAGGAAGGTCCTAGGGTAACAATTTTAATTATCTTTAAATTGCCTAGTGCATTAAATCATTAACACTGTATTCTGTATAATATTTGTCTATAATCAAATATATATATTAAAAATAAAAGTACTGGTATAAGTATATGACAATTACATTCCATTTTTTAATTTCATCTAATATAACATTATTTAAAGAAGTTCAATTTGGTTTTAATGTTTCTACATTCTTTTACACCTTCCTTTTCATTAAAAACTAGACAATCTCCTTCCTGGTAAAAACTGAAATTTAGTAACTAATCTAAAACCTGCATTATAGTAATGGTCCATTAATACTCGTGTTCACTAGGAACATTACTATCTTTTCAAAACAATCATTTTATAATTTAACTTGTTTTAAGAAAATTTCTAAAATATACCTTAAAAATAATTATATTATCATTCAGGTTCAAATTCAAGTAAAAAAAAAAAAGAAGAAAACTAAATGCTAGGTTTTGATCAATTATTTCCCAGTAAACTGTTATCACAAAAGAGCAGAAGTGATAATTATATGACAACCAAGTGGATCAGGTTAACTCTTTCGTGTTTATCAAATATACAGTAAATCCAAATGGAGAGGTACAGTTTCATCTGGATTAACTTTCAAATGCTGCCCAGGATGGAACCATGGGCCTGTCTGACAGAAGAGCATTATGTGTTGGACTCAGAACACATCCATCCTCTAGACTGGCTGCAGTCCATATATTTCACCCTAAGATATTTATTTCATCCACCTATTAAAAAGGAAAGCGAAGCATTTATTTTCTCCACAATATTCTCCTGTATCTGAGTTCTCCCCACTTTTTCTGCCCGTCTACTCCTGTCTGAAAGAGACAAAAGGCTGTGGCTGCTGACAGTGAGGGAAGGTTCACTGCCGGGCGCCGGCCGCCCAGGAGACCCCCTGGCTGCTTGACGAGCACCTATGACAGGCAGAGGGGTAAGCATCTTCTTCCAGCCAAGAGATCCACCAACAACAGAGAAAAAATTCCGTGTAGTCTACTGTGTCTATTATAAAAAGCCCTTTATAACAGTTAACAGAAATGTTTATAGCCAAAGAGAGGACCTCTCAGACATTATTTTAGGCATGACAAATTTGCCAATTTATAAACAGCTTTTTAAGGGGGGAAAAAAAAAAAAGCAGTGTTTTTATATGAGGATCTTCTATGAGAGAGGGAAGGGAAGAAATGGAGATGGTGAAAATATGTGGATTAAAAAAATCTGTGCATGGAACAGAAGAGGATTTTCCCTCACAAAAATTTCAGAAATAGCTCCTTTAGATAATACATAAAAAATCTTACTTAAACTGTTCTGCTTTCAAAAACATTCAGGCTTTACTTAGGGTAAGCATAAGACCAATGTTAAAATGAACCAAAAATTCTTTGTGCAGTTCTTTTTATCTAAAAGTAAACATGTGCCCTCCTATGGAATTAGATCCATTTTCAATAAAAAAATACAATGCTACATAACTATACATGCTATGAGCTATGAACTTTAGCTTCATTACATTAAAGGAGCAAGTGAAATATATTCCTCCAGACTCACTTAGGAAAAAAGAGAAGAAAAAGAAAACAATCCTTTATAAATAGATGGGAAAATGTTAAAGCATTCTGAATTTTATGGCAAATACATTTATTTAATAAAAGTTTTAAAAATAATTGTGTTCATGTGAATACATAGCCCAAATTCAATCACATCTACAAAGAGTGGGTGCTGATTGATGGGTCCACTGTTGAGGAGGGCCCTACAGAACTGCAGTCCCCCGGGAAGGAAACGCTCATCTCTAGAGCTCAGGCGGCACAGACAGCACCCGGAGGAGACGGCAGGGGCTGAAGGACGCTATCACCTTCATGTCTGGAGTACAGTCAATCGAGCTTTTTCATCTAATCAAACCCAACAGTACTCTCATATAACCATTCTACCTTCTGGTGATTTTAATACAAAACATTTCATATTCAAGACACAGTAAATATCCAAATTACCAAGTTCATCTTCCTCCCACCCCCTCTCTCTGTCACCTACTAATTCTCTGTCCAAAAACATAAACATTAAAAACTACCGTGTTCGTTTCCTGTGGCTGCTGTAACACATTACCACAGACTTGGTGGCTTAAGACAATAGAAATTTATCTCCCCCAGTCCTGGAGGCCAGAGGCCAAAGTCAAGATGTTGGCAGGGCTGGGTTCCTTCTGCAGGCTCTTAAAAAGACGCCCTAGTTTCTGGCAGCTGCCAGCAATCCTTGGCCTTCTGTGACGTGTCAACACAACTCTCCAATCTGTCTTCGTCTTCACATGGCCTTTTCCTGGCTGTTTCTACTCTTTTGTCTGAGTCTTCTCTCCCTGTAAGGACACTGGTCATTGGATTTAAGCTTCATGCAGATAATCCAGGATGATCTCTTCTCCAGATCCGTAACTTAACTACACCTGCAAAGACCCTTTTTGCAAATAAGGTCACACTGACAGGTTCCAGATTGACAGACCTCTGAAGGGCCACCAGTCAACTGCAGTCACTATCTTTCTAGGATGAGTTATATCCTAATTACCAATAAATCCTTACTTCTTAAAAGAATTTCAAAAACATGTCATATCCTTTTTCCAAATCTTGTTTTATTTCACACGTTAGTTATCTAATAATTCTTTTCAAATGGATCCATTTTCTTACAAATCCTTCTTTCAGTGTTTTTATTAGTCACCATGAAACAGGTTGACATGGTAGAACAGGCAGATATTAAATGCTTTTACCTACAAGAATAGCATGTTCATGGATGACCAAAGTAGAAAACTTAGTGAGTCTTATACAATGATCTGAGTAGTCTTCACTGAAGTTTTAATCTCTACTTATACACTCTAATCAGAACAAATACTCTTATAATGATAAGGTTAAACATACAATTTTAACCTATTCGGGTACAAACATACCTGAAGCGTTCAAACACTGCCTTTAATTTTTATACTGTTACTATTATTTCATTCATACACCAATGAGTTATCAACATGCACATCTTCAAATGAAGTATACTTTTTGAAAGAACGACTTCACAAAATGGGATTACCTCCAAATTCTCTACATCAGACAAAAGAACAGAAATTTCAGATTTATTGGGTGACGGAAGATCTCAGTATCAGTGCTGGAAAAGCGCTTTCTTCCACAGGTCTCCCTAAGGAAGCAGTGCATCTACGGTTTAGTAGTGACAGAAGAAACAGCACCATCTCAGCTCCAAACGCAGGCTCCCACTAACCCCAACCTTTGTCCTGCCACACAGAAACACAAGACAGCTGGCACGAAGCCGGGAAGCCCCGCCCCTCCTCCACAGGGTCTGATCGTGGGCCTGAAGCTCTCTGAGGGCATGCACATTTATACACCCACATAACAGTTTCAAAATATCGGCGTAATCCTTCAAGAATAACGTGACTGGAACAATAAGTTAAAAATTAAGTCATACAGAAAAGCACAGAAGACAGCACAAAAAGAGAGCAACAGCCAGTGTACCCGCCATCTTCACATCTACGTAAGCTAAAAGAGCACATCTGGAATACAGACTTTGCTACAGAAGCAAACAGTGCAGCATTAGTCTCTTTACCCAAAATGCTGCCTTTCAATTACATCTTTGTGCGTTAGGCCATTTGGGGGAACAAATCAAGATGGGTGTGAACAATTCATACCTCCACCGGGAATAATTGCCAACTTTGTTTCAACCAGGCCCATTTTTGCAGAGGAAGCTAAAAAGGAAGGAAGAAAATTAATTAACATCCATATCATCAAATTCAAACATAATGATTTGAAAAACTTAGTAAAATAAGCTACATTCTATTAATTATGTCTGTCACAAATCCTTTTAAAAATCACTTCAGAAGGCATTTAGTTATGGAAATAAGTAAACACTCTAAATTATATTATATATATTAAGAGATTCACACAACATTTTCTGTTAAAAATTGCTTAGCAGTGAATTAATTTTTGATGCAGAAAGACCAGGGTTGTAACTACATAATTTGATCTGACACTGCCAAGTCATGTTTGAAGGCTTAGATCCCATTAATTATTCAGGACGAGGAGAGAGGCTGTGTCTGACAAGTATGAATTCTTTAGCTGCCTGAATAGTCCTCCAGATCAAACAGCTTAATATATCATATCAGATATGGCAACTTTTCAAGACCAAATCTCTAGTTACTTTTGACAAATGGTTTTACTGTTCTGACAGCTGGACAGGGTTCCTTCTTGTGTTTGTTTTCACAGCTACTTTAAAACATCTTAATTATTTCTTTATTTGCATATCCAAATGTACTTGGACTACTTCCTGTATCCTAATTCCCAGAATCATTCTTTCATAAATGGATTACGTGTACCTTAGATTTTCAATTTAAAACCCAGTGATTTCAGACAAGAAAACAGAGATCTAAAATAAAGGGGAAAATGTACACATGGACTAGCAACTACAAATCCCAAGCAACAGTCACCATAAAACTATTAAAAACAATTATATTGACTCTACTTTTAACAGGCAGCTCCATCAGAAGTGATAGTGGGAACCAGGGGAGGACCACTGACAAGCATTTGCTGGCTGCTTTGCCCATTCCTTGGTCCCAGAGCCCCTTCGTCACGGCAATGAGCGAGCAAAGACACAGTGCTGTGACCACACAGCATAGTGTTGAGAAGATAGTGTCGAGGACAGTGGTGGCAATATACAGTGCTCTGGCAGGGTAACAGGAGTGAGGGCTGTGACTCCAGACTGCTTGGGTTCAAATCCCACCTCAGTCACTGATTTGGGGCTTGTGACTTCACTCTCTCAGCCCTAGCCTCCTCGGGCACCACTAAGCATCTATCTCATAGGGCTGTTAGGCAGATGAAGTGAGTTAATACATGTCAAGTGCTTAGAGAAGCGCTGGGCACTAGGTCAACACTCGGCACATGGTCAGCACTAACTGTTTTCATTATTATTTTCACAATCACTTCATCTAATCCTCAGAAAACCATGCAAGAAGAAAGTGAACCTCAGAAAGGTTGTTATTATTATTGTAGCTAACAATAATTAAGTGCCTGGACTAGGCACATGTCATAAATTAACTCATTTAATCTTCATAACAGCACTGTCATTTCCCCTTATTTTAGAAGAGGAAACTGATCTAACAAGGGCAGGACCCAAGATGCCAATTCAGTGCTGTCTGATCCATTTCCTGTTCTCCTTTCCTACTGCTAAGACTGAACAAGAGACCATAAAAGACTGTTTTCTTAACTGGAAATTTTAAATACTTCATTAAGCCAAACAGGTGACTTTTTCTAAATGTTCTACTCAACAATAGGAAAAGAATAAAATACTTGGAATCATCTGAAGAGTAAGCAGAAACCCCATTTTTAAAAAGTTATGTTTTAATAGCATTAACGCTCACCTGCTACTCTTATGTCGCATGCTAAGGCCAATTCGAGGCCACCACCTAAAGCGAGCCCATCTATTGCTGCAATCGTTGGCACTGGAAGGTTGGCTGAAACAGAAAGAAAGATTTTATGCTTCTTCAGTAAGACCTTATTATGTAATTCATTTTAGACTTTTTTTCTGTAAATATATTTTTAAGTGGGATATTGTATATAGAATTTTGTATCTCTTTTGCCTTTAACAAAATAAGCATTTCCTTCATCACTATTCTTCAAAAACACGCAATGATTGTACAGTCACGTGTTGCTTAACGATGGCAATACATTCTGAGAAATGCATCGTTAGGTGATTTTGTCACTGTGCAATCATAGAGTGTACTTACACAAACCTAGATAGAACAGCCTACCACACACCAAGGCTATACGGTACCAATCTTATGGGACCACCATCACATACGCGGTCTATCACTGACCAAAACATCATTATACAGAGTCCCATCACATAAGTGTGTAATATTATCTTTAAATCTTCCCATATTACTGAAATACTTTCATAAATATTTTCTGTTGAAATAACAGAATCACAGTTCTGACTTCGTAAACTTAAAGTCGAAAGCCTTTTATGAAATGACTGGTTCATACAAATTTCATATTGAAATGACTTGGGTATAATTGCAAAATTCACGATCCTTTATGGGTTTCTTTGGTGCTTAGAATGACGGGGTCTCATTCAAAGAAGTAATACATCTATTCAAACGAGACAGAAGCAGTCCAACTGGCTGCTGGGGCACAGCACACTAGCTCTATCATTTAGTAATGAGGACAATGACAGTAGCTTGCCTATCAAATACCACACTTCAAAAGAAAGAGGCTCTGAGAACCTACCCAAAAGCATGACTGGGAAGGGGCCAGCCAGTCACAGAATGCAAAACCAAACTTTCTTGAGTGCGGAAACAGAAAATTACTTTAATGAGACTTTTATAAATGATGAATCACAGATTTCACTTTTATAACTGGTTCAAACACAGACTGGTTAATTATTCTGTCAAGCAGAATCCTTCCCACTAATTTCATTTTTGACTACGGGAATGTGAAGCTAGGCTGGCCAACCTTAACACAGAAACAGAATGTGGATAGTAAAAAGGTACCATCTCTTCACTGTCCTCACCACAAAAAGAAACAATAACTGTGTGACGTGACAGAAGTGTCAGCTAACACTACGGTGGGAGTCACACTGCAGGACATGAACATATCAAAACTACAGGTTGTACACCTTAAACTTACACAGAGTTATATGTTCACTGTATCTCAATTTAAAAAAAAATAAAACAAAAGTGAATAAATAACTAAAAACAAAGTAAAAAGGTGCCATTCCTAAACATCTCTCTCGCACAGGTATTCCGACGTGAAATTCCACAGACAGAGAGGTTCCCTCCTTGATCCCTTTTAAAATATTCAAATTTTTTGAAGTACACTGAGTTTTATTAATACCTGCAGGAATTTATCAGATTTCTTCTAAAAGCAAAGTCTGAAAATGCTGGGATGGAGCACATACAGACGCTGCCACCTGAGGCAAAGGCGCTCTCGGGAGAGCAGGGGCGGACAGGGCATATTTCATTATTTGTACCTATCTGCACATTTCGAGGGGGGCGCCGGCAGCTTGAAAGGGCAGAAAAAATTCACTGGTGCTCCACGTAAGGTACTTTACAGCACACTTGGTGAAAAGTGAACAGACAGCTATGTCAGAGTTTACAGTTAAGAAATGAGTTTAGGGGCCAGCCCTGTGGCCAACTGGTTAAGTTTGAATGCTCCGTTTTGGCAGGGTGAGGTTCACCAGTTTGGATCCTGGGCACGGACCTACACACTGCTCATGCTGTGGCAGTGTCCCACACAGAAGGGCTAGAAAGACCTAAAACTAGGATATACAACTATGTACTGGGGCTTTGGGGAGAAAAAAGGAAAGAGGAAGATTGGCAAGAGATGTTAGCTCAAGGCCAATCTCCCTCAACAACAACCAAAAAAAGTAGACTTAAAAAAAAAAAGAAATGAGTTTAATGAAAAAAGAATATCCAGTTAATTTTATCTGACAAAAACAAAGGAAAAAAGCCAATTAAGTAAAATATTGGCAAGTAAATCTGAGTGGCTCCCAAGGTCATCTCAAGCCACAACGAGTAAAACGGAATTCCTTTGTTACCCAGCTCTCAATCCTCCTTCCTTTCTACAAACCTAGCTTCAGAAATTACATATTTCTAGATTCCTGTAATCTATTACCTCCCCAATCTCAAATCTCTCCCATCTAAACCTTCCCCTAGAGCTCGCTATGGGCTCACCTCACCTCCCTCTAAGACAAGCTTCTGGAGGAAATGGAGTAAACAGGTGTCACCCACTCCACTCACCTCCACCTCACAGCTCTAGGTCCCACTCCATCTCACCCAGACTGCTCTTGTCCCACTTACCAGTGACACTGTGAAGCTGTCCCATAACCAATGGGCACTATCTGGTCCCTATTAAACTTGTTGCCTCTGAAGATCAGTGACATCAACCCTGGACACTCCTCCTCCTTGAATTCCTCTCCTTATTTGCCTGCTGGGTCCCTCCTTCAACTTTCCTGCCTTTCTTTCTGCCTCTGGTTATTTCTCAGACTTCCTCCCTCTCCATAGAAGCTCTGCCCACGAGGTCTCATTTCCATCCATAACTTGCACCACCTATAACACTAATAATATCTAAATCTCTACCTCAAACCAACTTCTCTCTAAACTGTATCTCTATAGCTACCTATCTGTTGGACATCTCCACTTAAATGCTTTATCGTGTTCAAACCAACTTCCTGTCAATCCTTCTAGATTCTATTTCACGTTTGGTAGCACCTCCATCCACCAAGTTACCCAAGACAAACACCCAGAAGTCATCCCAGATGTCCTCCTTTCCAATGCCCTTACAGCCAATTGTTTTCTAACTCCTGTCTGACAGCTCACAAATTTGCCAGTCCCCCTCCCTTTTCTACAGCCAGACTTCTGGGTCCCCTCATTTCTCACCAGCAGGAAGTCTCTAACTGACTTCCTTCACCTGCAATTTGCCCCTTCTAATACATCTTTCATCTCCTGGACGATAATCTTTCTAACATGCAAACACAGTCATGCTATTCCTCTATTTGAAATTGCACAATGATTTACCCCACATTCAGAATATAAATGGAGAAAACTTTCAGCACGGCACGGGAGGCACCTGATGAACTAGGCTCTGCCCATCTGCCGATCTCTTCTCCAGTCTCAGACACATACTCCGTGTTCCATCCCCAAACTACTTACAGCACCTCCAGAAGTCATTCACATCCCTACCTGTGTACTGGGTGCCCTCTGCCTGGAATGCCTCGCTGGTCCCTAACTGTCTTTCAAGGCACTGCTCACAAGTCCCTTCCTTTACGATTCCATGGCACTCTGTAATGCTTTTCTATCATCACCATACCGCCCATTCTGAAACAAAGATTAACACCGCATCAATGCCAGTCAATAGCATCCTTCTTACCACTCTGGAACAAACTTTAAGGCTTCTCACTGTCTCTCCGTCTCTATTACATTAAACCTAGTATTCTCCCTACTTTTCTTTTTATTATTAACTTTTCACTTAATACTTTAAAGAAATAACATGAATATATGCAGCCCTGTAGAGCTCCAGAAAACAAAAGCAGAGAGTTGCCAAGCTGGAGAAAGCAACAGGAAGAGAGTGGAGTATTCTCTCCCTGCTGTGTGAAATGCTGGTCAACAGTGAGAGCTGAAGGCACTCGCTGAACATCTGCTGGAAGCTGACTCTTCGGAAAGAAATTACAGAAGTGAGGGCAATGGATCTCCAAAATCAAACCCAGGCCTGACATACATGTGCTACTGAGTTCTAGTTTCTGAAAACTCCAACCCATCATAAATAGGAACTGTCTCACATTCCTTAGCTTGTTCCCTAAAAATAGGAACAAACTTATGTAACATATATGGAAAGACGATCATATCAAATTGTGCACTGAAAATGGAGACTAAATAGAAGGGTCAAGGGAATAAATTGACCGTAAATTACAAAAGTTACATTGCATAACTTCATAAGCCCTGGAGCATAAGAGAAAGCAAACAGGAAGATTACAATTCCTGGTCACCTATAATGCTCTTAGTGCTGTACTGCAACACAAAGGGAATGAGGGCCTCAGAACGAGCTGACAAGGCTTTGCTCTACCTTTTTATTAGTTAGTATTCTCAAATAAATATTAGACTTAAAATCACACAGCCAATAGAAAGTTTAAAAGCATCATTTTTTCAGAAGCATAAAATGTCATTAAAAGAAAAAAAAGATTTAATGCACATAAAAAACACAAATAAAATTGATTAATGAATATATATCCTTCCCCTTCACTGTGAGAAGTACTAGAAACAAACGTTATGTGATCAAATGAGGAGGGAGGGGCCTGCCCAGCAGCAGGTTTCCAGCTCCACACCACTTGGAGTATGGGGTTTACATAATGCAGAGGGAGGGAACGAGGAGAAGTAAACAAATACAAACGTGCTGACCCAGGAGACGAGAGGGCAGGGAAGGAGCTGAAATAATCGTCTCAGGCTTTCTAATTCTGAAGCTAGAGGCTATAACACTTTTCCCTAGACGCTTATACTTTTTGGAAGTAATGAAAATTATTTTTAAATGTGACAGTTAAGAACTAGAGAAATTTTTTCAAGGGGATAAAATTTTCAACATTACAATTTATATGACATATATAACACAAAATGACAAGAAATGTGGGGGTCCTTATACAAAAAAGAACAAGGAAAATAGGATGTTAACACTCTCAAATCTTAAATAGATAAACTACTTGGCCCTTTCAAATATTAACATAAATTGGCATTATATAAAGCAGTTTATAAAATTTTTTCCTTCTAAAGAATTATTTAAGTAAAATAGCTTAATTAGTATTCAATGAGTAATTAAATTTCAACCGTTTTACAATATTATAAATCCTGAAGTTCTACACAATCCTAATTTTTCCCTAAAAGATGTTTTTCTCAGTAAATTTTTTTCAGGAAAATATGAATCGTATCAAAGCACATGCTAGTTTCACGGTCACCTAATATGCTTG